GTATTTTTACCGAAATATTTATTTATTGCTGGTATTTTTACCGACATATTTATTTAGTATCGGTATTTTTACCGACATATTTATTTATTACCGGTATTTTTACCAACATATTTATTTATTGCTGGTATTTTTACCGACATATTTATGGCAAAATTGGTAATTTTTATCGACCCTGCGATTTGTTTTTACCGACATATCTTTCTACATATTTTTTAACATAATTTTATATTGACATAATTGATCATTTTATCGATTCTCCCCTCTCCGCTTTTCGACACGTTCACGGACCTTCTTCCTCCCTGTTGGCAGCGCTGGTATGATGTCACGCGGGGAAGGGGGTTTTACCAACGGTCGGTAATTTTTTACCGGTATATTTTAATTGATATTTTTACCGACATATTTATCTATAAACATAATTTTTACCGACATAATTTTCTTTACCGGCATAATTGATGATTTATTTTTACCGGCATATTTTTTATCGATATATTTATTAACATAATTTTTACCTGCATATTTTTTAATATAATTTTTACCGACATAATTGATCATTTTTATCGACCCAGCGATCCTCCTCTCTCCGCGTTTCGCTCGCGATAGATTTCGACGGCCTTTTCTCCTTTCCGGCTCGTGCCACTCGTCCGCGCCGCCGTCTAGAATATTCTTGAATATTTCAGAAAGTTCGAGACATTTTGAGGAGGACAAGTCTTTTTAATCAGAGTTTACCCTCCGAAACTATGCAGTCCCGATAAAAAAATGTATCTTTAAACATACAATATCGTATGCTTTCGAGCTATCGTCTATGATGTACTTAAATAGATATTTTTTCAAATATTTGGTTGGGAAAAGGAAGTAAAAAAGACATTAATATATTTTTAAAAATGTTTATTTTGTATAATAAAGGTTTATAACTCTCTCCTGCACTGAGACCACCAATTAAATATTTTTAATACATTCTGTAAAGCACAAAGCTTAATATGATTATTACATCGTAAAATGTTGGTTGCATCCAGTTTGTCCAAGGAAATTATATCCTCGTAATCCGCATCCAAGATTTCGATGATCAGGTTACTTTTTACATTGTCGTCCAGAAGATTCGCCAACTATTCTTGCTTTTCACACCCCTTTACGAAGTGGGGAGGAAACGTCTTCATGTTCCATATCGTATGATTTACCAACCACAGTTGTCGTAATCAAACACTTGGATCTGCTATATGCAACGATCCCATCATCCCATCGTAGTCCATGATGATTAGCCATCAGCCAGTATGCTCTCGATTTATCGGATTTCGTGAGAAGATGTCATGGTATGGGACTAGTAAAGACATAATGGGAGAGAACAGATCCATTCCTAAGTATCGCTACTTCCTTTACGATGAATCTCTTTTCAACGACAAATCCTTGCAAGTCCACAAACGTTAGTACGACCATACCGAAGTACTTTTTGATATGTTCGAGAAAGAAATATCATGTATAGCCTTTTGATATTTTCTATTATTCTTTTCTCATACATACTTTCCAATGTTAATTGATTTCGCGCACTAAGTTGGATAGCTGTATTCAACTACACGATCATGCAGGATCAGAGAGTTAGCGGTAGTATTCGCTGGTATATTCGATCTACACTCAAATTCTATCTGTACATGTACAGTGGCACTTTTGACAGATTCGTTTTGACACGAACAATCGATAACCACGAAAAGACCATGCTTCAGAAAGTCGATAGTTGTTAATCATACCTCAGCACTGTTGTATCTATAATACGATTTGTGGAAACGGCTATACATATCATAAAGTATTGGATATCTGTTTTTTACAAAATCCAAATTCATGTCATCGTATAACGGATAACACTTTGAATTTAGATAGAGCTTCACGTTGGTTAAATTGCAGTTGTCGAATTGAGTTATATTTTCCGACATGATATTTTTTCGACTAGTCTACAACGCAAAGATAACGTATCGTGGTTTTTCCAAATTAATGGCTGTTTTGACGGTCCACAGATGTTTGGTCGTGCTTTGCAGCAGAGAAAATTCTCTTACAGATCTCATGAGCGGAAACTCATACTCAGGTATCGACCATTCTCCAATGTTCTTAGCAGGACAAGTTTATTGATATCATTCAACATTACGTGAGACATTCGCTATTGTATCTTGAATAGCTCGATCTTAGGTTGCAACGCTGAAGATCCAAGTAGACTGTTGTTGTCACTGCGCGACCGTAATAAAATTAATTCGTGACACGCGTTAATTACTATACGCTTGTAGTATTCGCAGAATCCTAGCAGCATGCTAAGCGGTACGCAAAAGTTGAAGTATCCATCTGCCGAAACAGCGCCAGTCGTATCCCACGCAGTATTTTTCATGATAGCATTTTTGTCTGAAGATAATGATACATAGTTTTTCAGCGTGGAAGTTATTCCCCCATTTCTGTTACGATCAATCTTTACACCATCCAGTACGTAACAAATCTCATCAAACATAAATGCAACGCAATTACGTCCCACTGTTACAGTCACACCATCGACTGTCTCTTGTTTCGTTATCTTCCCCTCGACATAAAGATAACTCTCACACGGTAACGTGTACAAATCCTGCTATTCGTATCTCATCGCTGTTTCCAAACGTTGTGTTAGCGTATGGATTATACGTGTGTGTTTCGATCTTGACGATGCGATCGTCAAAGACCGAGCTACTTCCAATGTTCAAAATGTCAATCATCTTTTTTTCAATTGTTTCGTACGATGAATCCTAGATATTTCAGAAATTCAATATTCGCCGCGCTAAGTTTTTATTTTATACAACGAGTATTGTTTGGAGCCGTCTTCGGTGCGATAAAATATTTCCTCGAGTGTGTCACTTGATCCGTTTCATTCAGTACGAGCATCTCACGCGTTTCAAAAAATATAGAATTCGTGTTAACGTTGTAGTCGTCGTCGCACGTGCAGTCTGATAGTAATCTCTTCTTCTCGAAAATCGAGCAATCGCCCTTCTTGATCGACGATACGCACCGTTAAATCTGTAATGCATCATGCGATGATTGGAAGATAAATGACGTGTGCCGGTGTTTCCGATATCTTATATTCTGGTGACACGTTAGATGAGAATTCATGTATCGTATGTACCGTTGCTGTATGCACCACTGACGACGCTGCATTCTTCACCAATAATATTCACGTTCATAATCTTAATCGGTGCATCCGATTCGTACCATTGTTGCGGTGGTAATATACGATTCGATGAGAATCCCGAGAGTGAACCAATGTTGTTCGGCTTACTAAAATTTATTCTGTAAGCATATTTTATTTCGCTCTTTATTGTATTATGATTAGCAGGAATTATTATAGGATATTCACCCTTGTCATCTCTATATAGATTATTTTTGGTTCATACTGTTGCTTGAGAAATTATATGTCTTAAATACTCGTTTATGGCATGCAATTCATACGATCCTTCAGGAATTGAAATTTCCCGGTCATCTTCACCAAAGTAAAATTTATTGTTCGATGCGTTTACATTTGGTATCGTATGATAAGATTCAAAGGTGGTCAAGCCAAGTTCATAATCATTATCGCTCAAATCTATCAGGAAAGTAGCTCGCCGTAAGGGTGCTACTATTGCCCGTAAACGTCAGTAACATATTCGGGGAACTGTCAAAC